AGAGTATTGAAGTTAATAAAACAACATCAAATTTTTTTATTAAATGAACAACTAATTTAATATTTTAAACTTAATTTTAATCTTTTTAAAATCCTATTTCTTAAAAAATATAATATACTATTTTTATAAAATTTACTCAATAATTTTAACAAATAGTTTAAAAAATTTTTTTTTATATATAGTCATTAATTCTCTAATACTATTAACAAAACTAAAGTTTTAAATTATTTCAAATATAAATTTAAATAACACTTTATCTTTTATCTCAAAAAACTTTTATCTACTACTATTGAGTTTATAAAACTAACCAATCTTTATAAAAAACATAATGAAATCTTTATTCTTATTTTAAATTAGCTTTAACTAAAAATAAAAAAAATTTAACAATATATAAAAAACAAGCTCTAAATTACAATATATATACAACTTAACTACATTTATTAAAAATATACTTAATACATTATACAATATTTATTTAAAAAAATTGATGCTTTTATATTTTATATTAAAGAAAAACATAAAATTATATTTACTAAACAAATTCTAACTATTGTTTTAAATAAACTTGTAACAAAAGCAGAAAAGTATATCTGTTTTGTCAATTCTGTTAAAACTAATTATTTTTTTTTTTAGATTAAAATCTCTGTTTTTGAAAATTATTATATTCAAGTATTTGAATTAAAGATTTGTATTGGGTTTCATAATCTGGACCAGTCAGGCCTACAAATTTTTGTATGCCAGGTCAGACCTGAAACAAAATTTTATAATTGTAAACTGGATTGGGCCTAAAATTTTGCAAAATTATATAAGAAATTTTGTAAGCTAAGCCAGACCAAACTGGATTGAAAAAAAATTTAATATATACAGGCTAAGCTAAGCTAACAAAAAAATTTTAATCCTAAATGCAAGCTGAACTAGGTTTCAAAAATAGACAATTTGCAGACCTTTAATTTGAACACATATGTCTTCAGAGGCATTTATTTATAAGAAGCATAACTGGCAAGTTATGGACCATCCGTGTAGTTATACAAAAAAATGCAAACTAACAATCAGATGATGCAAACACTAGATAAGTTTTTGTGATCATATAAATTCATTAAAATTAAGTAATAAGAAGTCTATTTGGAAAGACCTGAGTAGAGAAATAGTTGGATTTTTAATAGTATTAATATAAAGACTAGTTCAATAAAATAAATACCAAGATTATAATATCTAGATAAGAAGACTTAGAGGTACTACCAATCAGGCTGCTAAAATGAATTAAAGGAAAAGAATGTTGAACTAACCTAATATATTGATATACTAGTTATAGTTCTATATAAGCTATTAGAATTCAGAGTCTAGACAAAAGGCAAAAGTATACTAAAGTACTAGAGTTATACTATAAAGTAGATGTTAAAGTTCAAGTAAACTCTATAAAAATATAGCAGTTAAATAATATAACTAATTATAAATATTAGTTTTGTTATAGCAATATTTAAATTAATTGTAAAAATAAATACAAAAGGTTCTGAAAGGTTTACCTCAAGAATAAAATAGTTCTAAACTTAAAACTATGATCTGAACATTTGAGTATGACTCAGTGATGTTAACACAAGTTGCAGGTTTAGAGGGTTTAAAGTAAAATATTCAAACAAGGATATTAGGCATAGCAATTAATAAGAAACCTTTAAGCAGACTTCTTAAATAAGTAATATAAAAAGTTATATGTGTAGCCAATTGTACATTTTTCTGTAATAGTTCATAGAATTATATTACTAAAAAAAATTATTAATAAAATCAAAAGACCAAAAAGGTTATCTTAATATTAAAAAATAAAAATAAAAAATAAATATTTAAATAATAAATTTAAAATATAAAATAAACAGTTTTATAATATACTATAATAAAATATTATTTATTTTTAATACTTATTATATCTAATATCTTTTTTGAATATTTTTATATTTAATATTATGCAAATAATCTATAATTATTTTATAAATAAGAAATTTAAAAATATATTTTTTATAAATATAACAATATTTATGAGTTATTAAACTTAATTATTTTAAAAAATATGATAACTTAGTGAAGTGAACAAGTTATTATTCTTCTAAATGATAAATTAAGAATTCAAAACCTATTAATGACAAAAATTTGAATTTTTATTTGTGTTATAATAACTGTTTTTAATAATTAAATTAAGATATTTGTAATTGTAATTGTATTAGCATGACTAAAAGGTTATAGATATTTACATAACTGATTATACAAAAAAATACAAACCAGAATTAGATGATACAAATCTAAAATAAGTTTTTGTAACTGTATAAATTTATAAAAATTAGAAAACAAGAAACCTATTTAGAAAGACCCAAGCAAAGAAATAATATAGATCTTTAATAGTATTACTGTAAAAGCTAGATTTAGAAAATAAACACTAACATAGAGAAACTAAACAGATAAGAACTTCTAATTGGAAGATACTACTAATCAGGTTACCAAAATTCTAACTAAGAAAACCAAAAGAAAAGAATATTAAGCTGACCTGATATATTAATAAACTGATTATAGTTTTACCAAACTATCTGAATTAAGAGTAAACAAAAACAAAAGTATACTAAAATACTAAAGATATGCTATAAAATAATACTGGACTTTAGATGAACTCTGTAAAGACATAATCCTTTTAAGGTCTGTAGAGTAGATAAGTAAATTAATTAGAGACTCTTTTAGGCTTACTGGTATGTGATAAATTCTGAAATGTGTAACAATCTGAGTACTAGCACAACAAAAAAATAAAGTTGACTCTAGATGGTCTGCAATAAGAAGTAATAACAAGATTATTCAGTCTTAAGAAAAATAATTAAAGTTATACAGGTACTGATTATATAAGCCAAAGAGTTTAAATAAAACACCCATAAGCAGGGATCAGGTATAAAAAATAGTAGGTAACCTTAGAGCAGAACTCTTAAATAGACAATGACTAAAGTTGTATATATGATTAGCTGTGTTCTCACGAACTATGCATGTACTTAAAATATTATTAATTAATAATTGCCAGTTTGGCTGAGCAATTGATTACTTATTTAAAAAATATATATATATATATTTATTTTCACCAAAATAAGATCATTTACTTACAACCTTCTAAGCAACCCTAAACCCAAGTACACCTTCAACCAGTGTGACAGACTGCTTCTGAACACTCTTAAAAGCAATCAGAAAATAAAATCAGAAATTTAAGTTAAAATGTACATAACAATACATAAGAATTTTAATAAAGGTTTATAACAAAGTTGTTAAAGTTGAAAAAAAAGTTAGCATGGTTTAACATGGTTTCAAGCTATCTATAATAAACTTCATAAATATACATTTAAAATTTTTTTGTTACTATGGTTCCGGAAGTAGTGCAAAAGAGAAATGTGCAAGTATAATGGAATATAATTCTTTCTATTCATCAATAAACGTTAAGTAATAGATCACAATTGTAGGGAATCATAATAAAAATCGGCAGAGATCATTATTACTTTCGTATAATTATAGAGTGCCGAAAGTTTCTGACTATATGTAAAAGTCATAGTTATAAAGGAGAACTCGCGATCTACTAAACCAATTTATCATTATTAGAACCGGAATAACTTGTATTATAATCTTTGTTAGAAATTCAAGGAAGGTTTACTCGGCATAAAAAACTCTCATTGTAAAAAACTATTTAACTTTCGGCAATTTCTATGATTTATCTCTTAAATATTTTCGTCGTTCTGACAATCTATGTGACATAAACTAAATATATATGGCATAATAATACTTTAAGTATTGGCTCAATTAATCTATTCAAAGGTTGAATCTATTCAAACGTTAATCATATCACGAAAATCCTGTACTTGGAGATAATAAAGTAACAAATATTATCAATATAAATTTGTCTAGTATCTATACTTATCGTTATACGTATATTATTTATTAATATTATATATTATATACTTATATACTTATAACGAATAATTTTTATTTACAATTGCATATCAACACTTATTACGTAAAAAAAATAACAAGTGTTTACAAGAAACTGACCAATCAGAATCTTTATTGAGGTCATTCAAGAAATTGATTTCTTAATTCAGAATGTTTACCAACTTGTGATGTGTTATACATGTTATACGTATACGTAGCAAAAAAAAAAAAAAATACGTAATCGTGATTATCGTAAAAAATTGCAATAATAACAATAATAACAATGTGTACCCATGAGGCATGTCATTTGAACAAAAAAAAATTAGTGGTAATAACTTGGCTAAAGATCTTGCGATTCCGCCAATCTGACATTAAAATAAATGGGGTAGAGGGGTGCTTAATTACGATAGAATATGGTACTTGATGTTATATGAATGTCGCACTTGATGATTTATTAACATTAATGATTTTGATTAACATTAATGATTTTGATTAACGTTAATGATTTTGATTAATGTTAATGATTTTGATTAATTTTGATTAAGGGTTCTCAAGCATCTGTCTCATTGAGTTCACAAAGGATCTGATTGGTCTGTTGAGCTCATTGAGATAAGTGTTTGAGAACGTACTAAATTTGATTAAATTTGATAAATTGATTAAATTTGATAATAAATTGATTAAATTTGATAAATTGATTAAATTGATAAATTTTGATCAAATTGATTATGAATCGATAATTAACGTTAACGTTAATAATTTTATTGCCGACTATTTTCAATAATTGTTAATGTTGTTGTTGTTAATGTTTTTTTTTTTTTTAAATACAGTAAATGTTTTTGTGTTAATAAAAAAAAAAGAGATTTTTTAAATTGAGAATTGAGAATTGAGAATTGAGAAATTGCATGCATAAAAAAAAAAGACATGTATAGAATATAAAACATGTATAGGGTATAGGAATAGATGTACAGAATATAATAATAATAAAAAAAATATAATTTTTAAAAAAATATATTTTAAAAAAAAATATTTTTAAAAAAAATATTTTAAAAATTTTTAAAAATTTAGTCATCGGTATTATTAATAGGTTTATGACACCGATGACACGTGTCATTAGATAAATTTTTTGTTGCTTTTACAACTTTAAAAATTTCACAATCTTCTATATCAAAATACATTTTAGAAGAATAAGGAGTATAAAAAGAAGGGAAATAAACACCAGTATTATATCTTAATATTAAACGTAAATCACCGAAACAAGGACCATCTTCAGATAAGAAATGACGATATAAAACATCAAATCTAGTCATGCGACAAAGTTTTATTGACTTTGAAGCATTATCACGATAATCAAAAAAGAAAATGAAATGTTCACGAACATTTATTCCATCAGGTACATAAGTAGATTTCTTTTCAGTATGTAGACCATGAGGAACAAAACCACCAACCAAACACCTTTGACCAGCTAATTTAGCCACAACAAGAGTTTGACCAGCTTGATTACACTTTTCAGAATAATTATTAAAACCATCTTGAGAAGATCTAAATAAAAGTTCGAATCTATACTTAAATTTTTGTTTAGTATCTACATTTTTTGAAGATAAATCCGAGATCCATTTTTTAAAATACATGGCATGTACATGATTAATAAGATTAGAATTTTTGAGACCCTGATGACTTTTTGGTTTATGACGATATTTTGTTAAATACCATTTGAGAGCGGTATTATCAATATTATGAGGTAAAATTTTTTCAAAGGGCATAATTTTTGAATGAATGTCATTTCTTGAAATTTCGGAAAATTGAATAAGAGGGATAAGATTTTTTAAGGATAATTTAAGTAAACCGAATTCATCATCGGACCAAATTTTAACATTATCCTTATTAAGGGAAGGATTTTTACATAAAGCCCAATTTATAATGAGATTCCAACGAGTAATATGATCAAAAGCCAAATTTGATTGACTAAGAAGACCTAAAAGAATAGGTTCTTCTATAGGAGTTAAATCTTGAATATCCAATAACCATTGAGGACTAGAATTGATTTTTCTAACTAAATGACGGCGAAGTTTTTTATAAGAGTCTATACCAAATATAGTGTTTAAAACAGGTATACAATCTTGATCGATCCAAAAATCTAAGCCATCACCAATGTTGTCAGGTATATGATCTATAAGGTCATCGAGCATAAATTCGTCAGCAGCGCTAAATAGACCATAAATACCCTCAGCATCAAGATCATCCAGTTTGAGAACACCTATATATAAATATCTATAATAATAAGATAATAAAGTAAAAAGGGATAAGAATAAAAAATGTTAAAGAAAATATATAATGTAATAATATATAATGTAATAATGTATAATGTAATAATATAATGTAATAATGATTATATTATATTATATTATATTATAACGTAATAATAACGATAAGAAATAAATAAATACCTGAGAATTATATCAAAAATCTGAGGGGTAACATTTGGTTTTTCGATAAAAAATTTATCACCATCTTTTCTTGCCCATTCATGAGAAAGAGCGATTCGAAAATAAGCGGAACGAGAGTTTAATATTATAGAACCAGCTTTAAATTCTTTTATATCAGGATCTTCACCGACACGAATAATAGTATCATAATTTTCACCACCATAATCACAACGATTATCAGAGTTGAAAGTATTATTATTTTTTAATAAAAAATCCAGATTATCAACATTATCAAGGAAACCTTGCTTTTCGTTGAAAATTTGAACCGAATTCATAGAGGAGAAAGTAGTGGTAGCCATTTGAAAAAGTTATGTTACAAGTAATATGAAGATCATTTAAAAAATTTGACGAGGGAAAGCTATGCCTTATATGTGTTTAACAACATACCTTGTGATACATATGCCTGGGAAAGGGAGGAAAAAAATTCACCCTCAAAAGTATATCAAAAGTATATCAAAGCATATCAAAGCATATCAAAGCATATCAAAAGCGTATAAAAACTTGTTACTACATAAACTATCCCGATGGCGGAAAAAAAAAAATTTTTTTTATTATACACAAGAATCGAATTATTAGATCGATTCTACCAAAGGAGGAAATTAGGAGCACATTATAGTTTTATTCATTATTCGTTTTAAGAAAGATTGACAAACATGCCACTTATCATGGACTACCGCTGGTTTAAAATTTACATTTTAAAAAAAAAAAAAATTTTTTTTTTTTTTTTTTACTTTACGTAAGTAACGTAAGTATATATGTACGTACGTATTAAATAAAATTATTTTGTTTGTTTATCATAAAATACGTATAAGCAAAACAGCAATGCGTCAGGGTTCATAAAATCAACTATATCAAATATGTATATATAAAAGATTATATATTTATTTATTATATAATATAGATAGGAAACTTTAATGAAAGTCGATAAAGTTATATAATAATCGTGATGAATTTAATTAGTTGAGTGGCATGAATAACATATGAATGAGATAATTAGAGATAGTGAAAGATAATAAATAAGATAAGAAAAAAAAAAAAAACTTTTAAACAACTTTTGAACAACAACTTTTGAACATGCAGTAACTAGCATTTAGGTTTAACATATAACAAAGTCTATTGGCAGGTTCTTTACCAGATATACATTGATTTACATATCACGATATATTTTTTTTTTTCATAGGAAAAAGATTGGCGTTCAAAAACTTAAAATGTGTAACGGGAAATGTAATGGGAGATGTAACGGGAGATTTAGGCAATCTAAAGATACACCATTATAAATTTTATCGTAAAGTAACAGAAAAAGGTAGAACAAATCACGAGAGAATAATATAAAAATTGTCCACAGATTGTTCATCTTTGAACAATGGCAATGTGTTACTATTACAAGTCATGAAATTTGTCACGAAAAAGCGACGATCTTTACGAGTTTGATAATTGAACTCGTAAATGAAATGTAACGAATGTATCAAATGTAGTAAATGTAACAAAGTGAATATATTTGTGGGGAAGATTTGAGGCGTAATATTTTCATCATAAAACTTTTAAAGAACAAAACAAGACGGCATGCAATACAAGTCTAAAATAAAGTGCGGGGCATGTTTACTTTTGATTATTTATGTCAAGGAACAATGATTGATATTGTTTTATTATGAATTATTGAATTTATAAAAAAAATATTTTCATTTTTGGGCGATAATTAATGAGAACTTTTACGTATAAATATCACAAATACTATTTTTTGTTGTCGCATATAAAGAATCTTAAGTTCTTTGTAATGGTACATGCAGTAATTTTTCAATGCAATATCGTATCATTGGCTTACTGCGGATCCGCCTCGTTTACTTTTTTACTTTTATCATTCATTCTTTGTAAATTGAACAAAGTGAAAATTGTTGATCCATTTTGTACATACAATCATGAGACGCGGTTTAGAAAACTTGAGATTTAATATTTGGTTAAATTTGATAACGTATTACGTATAATTTTTATACTATATAATACGTATTACGTATAATTTTTTTACTGTACGTACAGTACGTACAGTACGTATAACGATAATACGTACAGTACTATATTGATTATTATCGTTATGTATAGTTTTTATCAGTTATCGTTATACTATATAAAATGTATAAAAAGATACGTACGTACGTACTTGCGTATTAACTCAACAGTTAAATTACGTCACAAACTCCTGAGGTGCATATCATCGTTTCTACTGACAGTTACAACCATAGCCATAGTGATAGAACTTTCTTGTTAGTTATGCGCGTGATTTACGTAATTAATTCATAAAATGCCAGATAAGGATGTTAATCGATTGTGTAGGCTGTCTGAAAAAATTACTAATTTTAGCTTTGATTTTCTACAGCCCACTATAAATTGGAATAGCTACCCTACGTATGCCATAGCAGATAGTGTGATCGATGATGCTTTCGAATTTTATTGCGGCTGTTTAGATTATTAAGATTAAGATTATTAAAATTATTACAAATGTAGTAATAATAAATGAAAATTTAATGCAAAAGTAAATTACGTATTTACATATTAACGTTAAATATTATAAATAACTAGTCACGCATATTTTTAGACATACTGTATAAGCAAATCCGTCGATCTAATCGTATCTTGTAATCGATATTGCGTAAAAAAAATATATTTCGATATAAAAAGTTGCAACCTTAAAATAACATTTAAGCAGTATCTTACGGTTTTTTACAATAATGGTTAAGCTTGCGATGTGTTACTGGTACATAATTGATGCACAAACCCCCGTAAAAATGTTACGACTCTAAATTTTTGTTACATATCAGTTTTCGGCTAAATCTAATAAAAGTGTTCGTAACATTTCATAATTTAAAGTATAATAATTTTAGTAAGAAAGGTTCTATTTTTAGCAATAATTCTTCTTTTGACTTGAACCAATTAAAAAGAACATATGATATTTACGAATACAGGAATAATGATTATAGTTATGTCATCGATTCACTCTCTAAACTGATATTGAATAAAAAGTTTCGGAATGCGATAAAGATGAAACTTTTAATGGATATCTGGTGATTCTTTGATAATGTACCTCTCATATGATTTCTGTTTGAGCATGAGCAATATGCTTCTTTCTTCTAGAACATTTAAAAATGTTACGTATTAATTGTATTGAAAAAACTATTAAATATAATTCTCTATATCTCTTGCACGAGGAAATATTACAGCAAAGAATAAAAAAATAACATGAGTTTTTTACTTCATCGTTCTTTCTTATCGTTCCATTTTTTAAAGGAAAGGGATAAAATCCTTACATATTTGATGTGTAAATGAGTTAATTAATATTAAAAAAAAAATCTTAAATGGATTTGTTAATTTTAAATTTATACTAATTAAACTATATCAAAATATATCAGATATAATTTATTACATAACTCAATATTAGTGATGCCACAAGTAATTCACCATGATAATTTTTAGTAAACAAGACTCTTGTTTTTACATATCTCATTAATTTCATATTAATTTAGATGTTCGATATATATATATATATATATATATATATATATATTAATTAAGGTACTTAAAGTAATACTGCGTTAATAAATGTACTTAAAATAAGTTATTAATTTTACTAAAATTTTCATCTAACTTCTCTCCGGATGAATGTCAATCGATCATATAAAAGCCGATCAGATCAAGTTTTTAGCACCTAATTTTAAACTCGCTCTAATCTAGAACTAACTCTAACCCACAACTAAAGCATCCACCGAAATTCACTTAGTAATGGTCGAAATATAATTTGTCTCTTCTATCAAAATACGCTGACTCGTCGAAATCAATTAGCCGAAACTACTTTTTGGATTTCGGGTGAATATTATATAGTTATAATCCTTTAGATTACTGCAATTTTTAGAGTTTGAGAATCGGTTTTATTAATATTATATACTATATGTTATATATTATATATTACATATATATTATCCCTTAAACCGTCTAGTGGGCAAATACGCCCGCCAAATTTTTTTTTTTTGTTTGCTAGATTTTTTGAAATTACGCCCGATTTTCATAAGCATCTCCTTTTTTCTAGGAAAAAATAAATGTTCATGACTTTACAGATCTGCTCGTGATCTGTTTCACGTGCGTCAGTTGTACAATTAACATAATTTCTGCATAAAAAGAACAATTAATTGTTATTATGCAATCATGATTTCATCACCTTTATCTAATAATAATAACAGCTATGCATTTCTGTGAATGAGAAAGGCTTTATGTCAATTCTTACATTCTGTTAAAATTTTTTAGAAAGCTTAGGATCAAGTTCAAGTAATAAGGAAGAAAAGGAAAAATAAATTCAATAAGTTTTCAAAAGAGTTAACAAATGTTCAAGTGTCACACAAATTTTACCATCACCATCTTCAAATTTTGAACCTCTAGTTCATATTAAGTTATTTCATCAAAAATTCATTAATTTATTAGCAAATTATAAAGTCACCAATGAATAAACAAAATAGATAGCTGGATATCCACTGGATCCATGCACTAACTATATGTTTTTGGGGGGACAATTGCTTTCAGAAACGAATAAATTTCGTCCAGTTTAAATTTAAATTACTAATGATTGATCATTAGCAAATCATTACTTTGAGGAAGTCGTTTAAGGGCAATCTGTATTTGAGTTGCTGGTGAAACTTGTGACCAAAAAATTTAATTAGCTGTTACATTAAATTTCACCAGTTTCACCATCATTCACCACCATTCTACTTTGAGGAAGTCGTTTAAGGGCAATCTGTGTTTGAGTTGCTAGTGAAACTGGTGACTATCTAAAATTTAATTAGCTGTTACATTAAATTTCCCCAGTTTCACCACCATTCATCACGAGTTTTATCAGTTTCACCAGCAACTTAAGTCTGTATCCATAAGTGTCATTTGATTCGTGTTAAGTTAGTATGTGTTCAAGAAAAAAATTTATTAATAGAGTTAATAATTTTTGAGAAAATTCTTTATCGTAAAGAATAAAAATATTTTAGACCCAAAAAAATTTTAATAAATCGATTAATCTCTGTCACTTAACATTTCTAAAAAATGCTTTATATTCAAGTTATGATTTGTCTTTAATAGCTAAATTTATAATATCTGAATTTGAAAATGTTATAATTCCCGAATTTGAAGATGTGTCTTTAATAGTTAAATTTATAATATCTGAATTTGAAAATGTTATAATTCCCGAATTTGAAGATGTTATAATTCCCGAATTTGAAGATGTTATAATTCCCGAATCTGAAAATGAAAATAAATATATATATATTGAAATTAACATTATAGATTATTGAATATTAAAATATTATATTAAATAAACCTACTTTCATTTTTTTTCGTTAATATTATATTAGAATCCTCTTAAAATTTAGCATTTATAATATTAGTCTTCATAACAATAAAAAAAAAAGAATCAAAACTAAACAAAAGTAATTATTAATACCATTGTAATAAACTTCAATAGAATTTTTCATTAATCTTTCTAGTTCTTCATGCACATTTTCAATACACGGACGTTCATCTGGTTTAGCATTCCAACATTTTATATAAAGATTACTATATTCTTTAGGGGTTTCGGGAATGATTTTTTCTCTAAAACCTCGAATTATGTCATTATATAAAAGAATGTGACATGGATAATTTTTAAATGGTTGACAACCACTAGTTAACTCCCAAAATAACATTCCAAGACTATATATGTCTGTTTTCTTAGAGTAGGGAATATCATCATTATAATTTATGGGTCGATTAAGTAATTCGGGTGCTAAAAATGCAATCATTCCAAAAAGATCATTATGTATATTTGTTTGCGTATTAACACTCTTGGCATTTCCAAAATCAGTTATTTTTGCATTTCCATTATGAACAACAATGTTTCTATCATGCTACATAATTAAAGTATTTATAAAAACAGATTTTGACATTAATAGATTTAATGTATAAAAATATCTTACTAGGTCTCGATGAATAATGTCTTCGCTATGCAAATAACATAGTCCATTTGTGATTTGATAAGCCAACTTAAATATTTGATCCCATCCTAAGCGAGTTCTTGTTTGAAGGAATTTTCGTAGATCACCATCATTCGCATATTCCATTATAAGATAATATCGGTTATTTATTTTATCTAGATTATAACAATTTAACAATAATAAGTTAAATATGTAAATTAAAAAAATTAACTACGTTACTTTAGAAATGATACCTTTACTAACTCCTAGAAATCGAACTATATTTTCGCAAAGACCTCCTATTCTAATATGTATTGTTAATTCATGAATAAATGCTGTGTATTGATTGCATTTTATATCCTTTATATTTGTCAATTCTTTGCAAATAACACAAGCTCTTATTTTTGTCCAATAAGCTTTTCTTATTATACCTAATTATCGTAAAATAAGAATATATATTTATATAAATAATTATATACACATGACTTAATTAAAGCTAACATACCAAAATTCCCTTCGTCAATTTTTGAAACATTATTTAACTCATCCCATGATATAAGCCTAATTGGTTTTCTCGATATTTCGTATTCTGAAATGTGAAAAGGTTGTTTGTAAATGATTCACTGATTAATTGTTCTTTTAGTATAAGTTAAATGTTAATTACCAAAATCATCATTGCTTTTTAGATTGTAATCATCACTTCTTATTATATTATAATTATTGATTGATAGATTTGATTTATTGTCGGATATATAAAATTTATCAATATTATCTTTCCAGTTAGTAAGAATCTCACAGATTTCTGAAGCCAACGGTCGTTTTTTCGGATCATCATTCAAACATTTTTTCATGAGGTCTGAATAACACGCTATTGTGTCTTTGCCAATTTCACTGATAATTAGACCGGATGTCAAGTGTTCTCCTGAAGAAATTTCCCACATAAGTAATCCAAAGGAATAAATATCTGATGCTTTGACGAACCTTCGCTTAGATTTAACTTCAGGTGAAAACTTTGTAACTAGTGAAATATCTGATAATTTGATGTACATTCCCTTAGATTTAACTTTAGGTGAAAACTCTGTAAATAGTGCTTTAGTAGCAGGTAATGATATTGAAAAGCTAGCTATGTATGCATTATACTCGTTATTTTGTAATATATTACCACTATGTAAATTACAATGAATAATACCAACAGAATGAATAAGTTGAAGGTCATAAGCTATATATGACAATAAATTTAATTTTTCTTTCCATTCCATTCGTGCAACTAAACGAAGATTTCGATCTAAAGTTCCTGGTAGATATTGCATAACTAAAATATAACAACCACTATTATATGATACTCCATAACATTGAAGAAATGTAGGATCTTTAGATCCGACAAGGTAATATGCTTCTAGCTTTAAAATTTAAACTTTTAGCAATATTGGAATATTTAACTGAAAATATTGAATTTATAAACATTTACCTCATTCAAAAGTATTTTGCAATCTTTACAATTATCTAATGTTTTTAGGCTAACCATCTTTGTTTTTACTCCATGACTATATGAATATGTCCACTCAGCGGAATAAATAGTTGCAAAGTTGCCTGATCCAATCCTTTTTATAATCTTTAATTCATTATACGGAATCCATGAAAATGGATAATGGTTCTCATTTACCGTTTTTTTTAAAAATTTACTAATATCAGGGTGACTGCATTGAGGTTCTGTACCTTGATATTTATTGTTTCTTGCTTTTTGTAACCATTTAATGGCTTCTTTCCTATTTTGGGATGTTCCTTTACTGTCCCTGTAGCATGAACCAAGATTATATTGCCCACTGGAATTACCACATTCTGCTGACTTTAAATACAATTCAAATGCTTTCTTTTCGTTTTTTTCAATACCTATTCCGTTTTCATAACAACGACCTAGATTATTCTGTCCACTAGAACTGCCACTGCTTGCTGATTTTAAGTACCATTTAAATGCCTTCTTTTCGTCTTTATCAACTCCTATACCTTTTTCAAAACACCATCCAAGATTGTTACATCCATTAAAATTGTCTTTATTGGCTGCTTTCAAATACCATTTATATGCTTTCACTTCGTCTTTGATAATACTTATTCCATATTGGTAGCACCATCCGATGTTGTTTTGCACATCAGAACTTAATTCTTCTGTAGATGTTAAATACTGATTTAATTTCCTTTCATTTAAAATTTGCCCTTCTCTATTTGATTCCATTTAAATTAGATATGCAAACATAAGAATATACATGCACGGATAAAATATTTATATGATTTTAAGATGTACAGTACAACATAATTTAGAAAAGTAAAAATGTTAAAGGAGTACATACGTATAATTGGAGTGTTCCAATGTACTACGTATTGGTATGTAAATCAAATCTATATCAATATGTAGTCCTATATGAAAACAGTAAAAAATTTTTCTATACATGCTTAACATACTAACAACAACAGTTTAATTTTGATGAAAGTTTAAGCATTTTTATTATTTTTTGGATTATAAAAAAAAGCTTACTAATATATTAAAATTTGCTATCTACTATTCTTCATGTGAAATTTTAATTAATATGTAGAAATGTAAAAGAGATTTATTACAAAAAATCAAAGATTTTTAAATTGTATTTACTTCTCAATATTTTACATATTAACCTATTCAGAAATTTCACATGAAAGTAATAATATATATAATATTTTTAATGAAATTGAGAGCTTTTTTCATAACCTGAAAATATTAAATTTTTATCGAATTTATACTATTGCTGCAGTATTTTTATTAACATGAATGTAATAATAATTCATTATTTTTTAGTTTATAAAAAAAACCTCTATTACATTAAAATATGCTATGTACTCATTAACTCTTATATAAAATGTCGAAGAGATATAATTTTGAAGTTTGCGATTTTTTGTAGAAAATTGTATATATCTTCTTGACATTGATGTATTTAGAAATCTTATATAAAAGCATAGCGAATAGCATATTTTAATGTAATAGAAAGTTTTTTTTGGTAGTTCTGTTTTTATTATAATATAATTTCGTCATGTAACAATATACATGTATAAATACAAATAATTATCTAAACTAATAAAAATTTATTTAATTTTATTAATCTAATGTAGTCTGTTTAAGTAATTATTTGCTTTAGATTTTTAACTTATTAATAATAATAATAATAAAATACAAATGATTTTATTTGCAACAAAAAATAACAAAAAAAAAAAATAGAAAAAAAGAAATAAATAAAGATTTAAAGAAAGTTGTCAAACAAATAAAAGAGTTTAGTATTTCAATATCTTATTATTAAACTTTTAAAAAATTATTAATTGTCAAAACAAAAAATATAATAGTAATAGTAAATAAAAAAAAATTAAAAAAAAAACTAAAAGAAAGAAAAAAAACTGAAAGATGTTAGTAAATAATATATAAATATATATTTTTTCTCTTTTAATGATCTTGCTAAGATCATTCTCATGTTCTATATTTTTGAACTAATGTTCTTAATGTTTTTAGTCACTGGATCTTAACCTTTCCTTTTAAATTTTTCAGAAGTGATCTGTTGCACTAACCTCTGCCAGGATTAAAAGGTTTTGTTAAGCCCAGTCTAGAACTGGCTGTCACTATAAGTTTATATAATATTTCTCATTGTCAAACTTTCAGTCTCACATTATATCTCATGACTTTAATTATTCTGAATCAGGCTCTAACTCATATTCATTACTATGTGACTTCTCAATTGCAAATTACTTGTCATTTCTGAAAATAAGTCTGTTCTTGGATGTTCTGGGTCTCTAGTTTTACAGTATTGCAGTTCTTTATTTTTGAAAATACATCTCTAATTGACAGCTTGCAATTTGTGATCTTGGAACATTACTACTATGTTATCAACTTTAAAGGTCAATAATATATTTTAAAATATCAAAAAGAATATAAATAAATATAAATAAAAAAATAACAAAACTGAAAAAATATGTTAAAAAAGTTCTTATTAATAAATATAATTTTTTTCTTTTATTAAGTCTAATGTTTAATAATTACAATTTTTATTTATATTTTAGTTAATGTATTACAATAACTTATATAAGGTGAATATACAACTAGTTACATATACAACTTTTGGTTACCTATTTAAGTAATCTGCTTTGCTTACAGATTCTATACTAATTGCTATACTTATAATTTACTAAAAGATTACTTATTTAAATATTCTAATTTCTATACTAGTTTTTATATATTTAAATATTATATTCTAAGTAAATAATTATCTAGTTCTTATATATAAAATGTTATCTAACCAATATTTAATCTTTTTTTTATATATTTATTAGACTATTATACATTTCAGTATATATTATTTAACAGTAAGGCCCTGAATGTTTTTTTATTAACTACCTTATTTATTTTATAAACTATTAACAAAGTTAATCTTTGCAAAGTTTATATAAATATTATTATTTATTTTACAACATATCCTTAGTATTTTTAGTATACCTCTGCTTTGATCTCAAACTTTCAATTCAAATAGTTTAGTATAACTGTAATTTGTCTTTAATATATTGAGTTTAGCTTAATATTCTTTTTTTTAGTTTAATTCTAGTAACTTAATTAGTAGTACTTCTTATCTAGAAATTCTTGTCTACCTGATTTCTTTATATTGATATTCATTTTTTAAATTTAGTTTTTATAATAATATTATCAAAGATCTGTATTATTTTTCTACTTAAGTCTTTTCAAATAAGCATCTGTTTTTTAGTTTTACAAATTTATATGATTACAAAAACTTATTTTGGATTTGCACTATTTGGTACTAGTTAGCATTTTTTTGTATAACTAATTTTATACAGATAGTTATAATTTGCAAGTCATGCTAGTACACCTATAATTATAGATATCTGATCTTAACTAATTATTAAAAAATAGTTGTTATAATACTTATAATTATACAAGTAATAATTTAAATTTTTTATTGTTAGTAGGTTTTGAACTCACTATCTGTCATTTAGAGAAATGACAACTTATTCAATTTATTAAATTATTATACCTAACATAATCTTATATAGTTAATAATTATTAATAAAACCAAATATATAAATCTCAAAACAATAAATAAACAAAAAAGAAAAATCATAAAAACCTAGCTAACTAAAAAACAGAATAATAATACTAATTGCAAAACAACTTGTTATCTTCTATATATTAATTTAAAACAAATTAAGGTATATTATTACAGAAAAAAACTCTATAAATCTTATATCAAAAACAAAGAAAATATTTCAAGGACATCAGAGTTTACAGCTAACTTTATTTTTACAGTAACACAAACTCCCAATATGCAAAACAGCTATAAATATTTTACTAGACAATAGAAGCAACCTCAACACAAACAGGTTTTCTACAATTAACTTAGCAAAAATAACAAAAATATTGTAAATAAGTATCAAAAATCTTGATACTATTACTTAAACAAAATAACAAAAATATAGAAAGTAGCTTATTCTTATTAAACAGTCATATAACAGTATATACAATCAACTATAACAACAAGATAATAAAACAAACAAGTTTAACTAATGTAAAAACCAGTTTTGTAAGTAACAATCATAGGTAGAACCATAAGTATTTTTTAAAAGTATTATGTTAGAATATTTTTGTAAAGAATTGTAAGTAATTCTTAAAGTTTTTCAACAATAATTATAATCAAAAAAACTAATAGAATACTATTGAAAAAACTTTGTATTTACTATCAATTCAAAATGTGAATATATATAAAAAGTTTTTAAAAAATAAATAGAAAATATTTAGAAAACCAATAAAAAACCTAGGTGCTTGTCCATGTGAGATACTTAGTACTGGGGTTATACGATGCAGAGGTGGATCGATTTTTTTCGTAATGATGTTAGAAGTTAAATTAACTTAAAGTTTATTATGACACAATATTGCATAGTGAAAAATATATAAGCAGGAATTTGATCGCTGCACGATCAATCTTCTATTATTTTCTTGTGTAAACTTGTATATATCAAGTATATTGTGTGGTATTGTGTGCAAATAAAATTTAATAATACAGGAAGGTTAAATGTGGGAAACCAATTATAAGCCTTTAATAAACTTTTAACAGACATTAATTAAATCTGCGTCGTTTTACTTTTTTTTATGCAAATACATAAATATGCAAATAATGCCAAATGTCTTTGTTCAAAATGCCAACCGATAGGTGGCAAGCCCTTATCTTGAAGAACTTGGCAACAACATCAAAAGAATAATAATACTCGCAATATGTTAACAAATTTGACATCTAATTCTATTCGGCCTATTTCAGCTTCTTCAACAAGTCAAAACCTTATAACTCTCAATACGCTGAATCCTTATTCAGATTTAAATGATGATTGTGAAAATGAAATGGATTCTTTTAACAATGTGAATGAAATGGATTTCTTCGATGATGAAAATGAAATGAATTTCGATGTTATACAGATAAATCAACTTGAAAAAAACAACATAAATATAGCAAAATCGTCATCAGTAAAAAATATCACACTATCTCAAGAATTTATTGAGGTATTAAACATAATTTATTTCTTTAAATATTTAAAGAATTTTTGTTTAATTAATATCAATAAACAGCTAGCAACAAATAGGAGTTCGTATTACAAATCGAACAAATTACCATTAATGCAACCAGACAATTTGCCAATAGATAATTTTGATTAAAATGAATTTGATAGTAATTCTGATCAAAGCGAGCATGACAGTAATTCTAATCAAAATGAAGATAATGATTCTGAACAAAGTGAACATGATATTAATCAAGATATCGATGAAAAATTTGATATTGATAAGGAAACTGATGAAGATTGTGATAGAATTATGCTGTCTTCATCACTATTAAGTATTGATAATTCGGATATCTTCCCAGAATCGTCATATAATCCAGTATGATTTTTATATAATCCTCCACTTTTGAAAGAAAATTACATAACACAATGGATTGTTCTCTGGTTATTTTTGTTTCAGCGATCATTTATGATTACCAAGACCGGAATTATGACACTCTTTGTTTTTTTTAGTCAAGTTTTAGCATTTTTAGATGCAGTTAGATTTCAAAATTTTCCAAGTAGTCAGCATTACGTTGAAAAAATGATTGCACAGCCTGAATCGATTATCAAATATATTGTGTGCTTACATTGTCATTCTCTTTACTTACCTACAGATTTGCCTTTAAAGACTTCAGAGCATACCAAATGTCTTACATGTGAAAAAGTTTTAACAAAAGCTATTAGAAGATCATGTGGAAAACTTCAATATAAAGTTAAGTTACTATGTTTAAAAGTTATTTTTCTTTTTTTTTAATAATTATAATCTAACATTTTTACTTTTATATTAGCCTTTAGTAATTTACCCTTACCAATCTATTATTACAAGAATCGCATCAATATTAGCAGATGAGTCAAATGAAAGGTTAATGAATTCACCATATGAATGACAAGTCGAAGACGACGTATTAGGTGATATTTATGATAAAAAAAATTGGAAAGAATTTTTAGATGAGGAAGGACATCTATTCTTTGTAGGAGATAATGCTGATATTAGAATTGGATTGGCACTTAATGTTGATTGGTATACTCCATATAGTCATGTCAAATGAAGCTGCGCATCAATATATATGATGATTCTCAATTTTCCAAAACATATTAGATATCGAAATAAAAATCTTATTCTTGTTGGCATTATACCCGGCCCAAAGGAACCAAATACAAAGCAACTACAAAATTATCTTCAGCCAATGGTTAATGAGCTAAAGCAACTTTGGAGCGGTCAAATATTCAAAACTACTCAATATCCCATCAGGCGTATGTTACGCTGTGCATTAGTTCAAATTGCATGTGACATACCAGCTGCACATAAGGTGTATCATAATAATAATAATAATAATTATAATGTTTTGTAATTATTTAACAAAAACCAAGCTCAATTTTATGAATTAATTACTTGGTTTTGTCAATTATTTATGCTATTTATATAGGTTACAGGACTAGCTTCACATTCTTCAAAACATGCTTGTAGCAAGTGCACTAGGATTTTTTCATGCTTTCCAGGAACTTCTAAACTTGATTATTCTAATTACTCTCAAGAAGATCCTCTATTAACTAATGCTAAACATAGATGAATAGCATTACAATATAAAATTGGTGATTCAACAACACAAAAAAAATTATTTCAACAGCATGGAATTCGGTGGACTTGTCTTCTAGAATTGTCATATATTGATATTCCAAGGTTTACTATGATTGATCCTATGCACAACATATTTTTAGGTACAAGTAAATGTATAGTACAGCATGCATGGATGAATAGTGGTTCACCAAAACTTAGTATCAAACATTTGTATAAAATTCAGAACCTAATTGATGCAACACCTTTACCAGTTGACTTGGGTCGTATAAACCTTAAAATTACATCAGGCTTTGATACACTTACGGCTGATCAATAGAAAATATGGGTTTTAGTTTATTCAACTTACATTCTGCGTTAATTTCTTAATGAAAATGATCGGCGATATTGGCAAGCATTTGTTACTGTGGTATCAATATGAAGCCAGAGAATTATAACTGAAGTTGAAATTGAAGCAGGCTATACAGCTATGATAGCATTCTTACAATACGCTGAACAAATTTATGGTAAACATTTCTGTTCCCCTAATATGCACTTACATAAACATTTACGAGAATGTATGCTTGATTACGGGCCATGGTATTCTTTTTGGTGCTTTGCCTATGAACATTATAATGGGCAAGTTTTATTTATTTATTTTTAAATAATGATTATAATAATTTATAATTATTTAAATTTGTATGTAAAGAACTTGGCTTATTTCCTAACTCAAATCATAATATGGAACTTGAAGTACTTGAGAATTTTAATTATTATATTTATATCCGACAACTTAAAACCAAATCTCGTCACTATTTGTCTCAAGAATTTTTATTATCTTTAAATTCAATTTCTCAAACTAAAGTTGAAAATACTGGAACTTTGAAGCACTATAATTTTACAGTTCAAGAGGCATTAGATTTTTGTGCAATGTCTGGTGGATTAATTAGTCATGTTGTAACTGGCTCGGAACAATTTCCTGGTCATTTTATTAGACCTTTTCGTGAAATTACCCTATCGGCTAAGATAATTGGGTTTCTTGTTCAATATTATTCAAATATTTATACAAATTACAACTTTTATAATGAAAATCAAACGCCAAAATCAAAACAATCCATTCTTGTTTCCTCAACAGCCTGTCAAGCAACAGCACTCAAACTTGAAGATGAAATATATAGTTCATTCTTCTCATGCTCTGATTTAAATTCAAATATACTTGCACGATGGCAGCTAAATGATAGTAAAAGAATTAATTGGCCAGGAATAATCAAGTTTTTTTTTGAACATCGTATATCCTTACCAAATTCAACAACATCAACCAGCCATTATCTTGCCATAGTGGATTGGTACAAGAGAGATACATAAAAACAATGTTACTTTCATGTTAAATCACGTGATAGAGTATCAAAGGATATATTGTCTACAAATGCAGATGGAAGTTATCATGCTGAATTATGGAAAAATCGATTTATTGAGCAGGGAATGAAAAATATATTACCAATTCAAAGAATTATTGGTCGATTTGTCAAAACTGATGGATTTAAATTATCTGGAAACAAAAAAAAATTTGTTGCCATAATACTATTAAATCGGAAGTTTTCAGTATAATCATATATATTAATTTTATATTCTTATAGGATTCAATCGAAGCGTATAAGATTTAATACTGATTAAATCTTTGATATTATATAATTGTGTCAACCTCAAACAATATTCATTTCTACATGTTTTTTTTATTCATTTTCTAACCTAAATATTTTATGACGAACAAAGCTAATTTAAATACTTTTTTTACAAGCATTACGAGTTTAACTCAAATCGTGAATGAAGTAAAATCTATTTTAACCTCTTCTGATGTTAGAAACCAACTTGAAACAACAAAAAATTTCATCGAATCTTTGAAACATCGGCTCGATATTTATAAACAAAATCAAAGCGAATTTATTACATCTATGCAATGGATCAATAATGAACATAGAATTAAAATACAATGTATTGAAGATACTTTAATAACAACTACTACTATGTTAGAAAATTTCTCAACATCAACATCAGCAGTTCAAACTACTGTAAATAACATATTATCCCATATTCAAAATCGTAATAACAATATTAACATTTTAAATACAATCAATAATTCTCCACATGTTATTAGCACAGCAAATCCTATACTCACTGCAAAAATCCATGACAAGATGTGTTATTTTAATGGGTTTGAAGATCTTGAAGATTCCGAATCTCAAACACTTAACAAAAAATATATATACGACTTTGAACTTGGTACTAAGAATCAAAAAAACAAAAGAATCACTCAAAATTACGTTGAACTTTTTATTAAAGAATTCGATACCCAGTTCGAAGAAACATGTATTTATTTTTTAATTATTACTTAAAAAACTTATATTTATATCTAATCTTTCTAAATAACTTTAGAAACAAATGAGAAGTAGAATGAAGTTACATTACTGAAATTACCAAGGCCTATTTTAAAACCCTAAAGAAAGAATGAAACACTACCCCAGCTGCAAAGCTTTTGAATGATCAGCATTCATGACGTCGTAAAAGACATGATACAGTAATTTACTCAATATAACTTACAATACTCAAATGCTTTTATTATTATTAATTATTATTTTCCTTTTTTAGAAATTATCTAGTCGTTTAGCTGTTTTGAACAAAATTCCTGAAAATCAGCTGAACCATCCTAAAAGTGAAGTTGAGAAGTTATTTTCTTTTGAGGCAATGTCTCCTGAAGTATCTGATAATGAAGAAGCATGATAACTAGTTTATTTGGTAAACAAGACTATGACTCTGAAGTACCAAGAAAGAAGTTACTAGTGCCAGTTCTTCCTTGGATGAGTGATAAGGTATTATAATACAACAGCATATAATTTATGTTTAAAAAAAAATTAAGAACTATACTAATATCTGATTGTAGGGAAATTGTATTCAAAAACTTGCTGACGAGGTAATCAAACGAACTCGATTGGAAAAATTAAATTCTAGAGGTCGTCATTCCTATACTACCCCTATACTGCATAAAATTGTTGAAATAGCTGATCTGCGGTGGGCTGAAATGCGATCAATAATTTCTGCAAAGCCTAATGATCTTCCAATTTGGGCATGGGATCAAGCCGATTCAAATGAATATTATAAACAATTTGATGACAGTTATGAAAAATAATTGATATTATTGTTATAGTAAATAATGTTATTTAAAAGCTTCAAATTATGTATTTCTTTTCAATAATAATAAGATTCACATATAATGTTAATAATTTAATTTAAAAGTAATATATATTTATTCCGCATCTTTTTTTAGCATTACATTTAGAAAATAAATGGAATAATTATTTGTATTATAAACGTTTTCTAAAAATAATTTAAGGCATTATACTGGTGTCACTAATAATAAACTCTTGACAAACCAATGTTGAATTTATATTTGGAATACTGCAATAAAAGTTGCATATTACACCATAAGTTTGACATGTGAAAACATTTGTATCTACTTAAACTTATTTAATAAAAAATTTTAAAAAACTGTTAGAAAAGGTGATATCACACAAAGGTTTTCTAACATAATAGCTTTATAAAATGTTTATAGTTTTACCTGTGAATAACAATTACATAATAATTATATAAAACAACAACTATCATATTACTATAAGTAATATATAGATACAAGTGCTTAGCTCTAAAATAGAAATTAAATACACAATATAGCAAATCTTACAACAAACTGACACTAATCACCAAACTAGATCTCCTTAAATAAAGATGCACTCTAACCAAAACATAAAGACAAGTCTATTAGTACAATACAAAGTATTAAAGAATCAATAAAAAAAAGAATATATAAATAAGATGTACATACTATTAGGCAGTTAAAAGTAGAACAATTACAAATACAGATTCAGAAAATAATACAGATTATATACAAATATAAACAAAATAACTAAACTAAAACATAAATAAAAAAATACCAGAATCTTTTAATTTAATACTTTAAAATTACCAACCTACTACAAAAGCCTTTTAATAAAAAAAAATTACAAAAACTTATAACATACAAATTCAAAACCAAACTGATACAACAAATATTACTATATGCAACTGAATCTAAATTTAAATATACTAATTATATCTTCTTTATTACTTTTATAAAAGCCAAATGCTTTATGCTCCAACATCAAATAGTATACAAGAACCTATTCACAAATGTAATACAAAAATACAAAATTAAAACCAAAATAACTATTACTAACAAACAAACAAAAGATAAGATATACATTACCAATATAAACTTTAACATATGCTTACAAAAACATATTTTTCAATTACTAACATATTATAAAGATTTTACAAGAAATAAGAAAGCAATAGACAAAGAAGCCATACAAGAAGCAATTATAAAAACAATAAAAAGTAAACTAACAAAGCTTTCAACACACTAATAAGGATTTTAGATAAAATTAAAGCCATCTTACTATTTAAATTTCTGATAAAATTTAAGTCACAAATAAGAGCTATAGTCACAGCATTGTATAGAGTATTCAAATTTGAAAAACTATACTTACATATTTTATAGAACTTTTATTTTTTATTTTTTAAATATTAAAGTGAGTACTTGCAATTCAGAATTTTATTAATAGTATATTTGGCTAATAGTTGCATTACAACCACAAGAGGCAACTATATAAAGAGTATACAACTAGCCACTTGTGCAACTTTTAGTTATTATTTAATTTAAGTAATTTACCCAAAAGTTCTATACTAGCTGCCATACCTAGAATCTGCTTGTAGGTTTTCTATTTAACCATTTTAGTATAGTGCTACAATAACTGCTTTAGTATGTTCTCTTTATTGTATAAATAGGTTGAAAAGGAGTATTTAAGTAATATTTTTTTGAATTTGGCTAGGATCTGTTAGTAGTTGTTATAGGTATGCTGTTGTTGCTTTTTGTATATCATATAGGTTTGTGTTATTTTTTATAGTTTTGTCTTTGATGAATTCTTTGTAGTATTTGACAAAATAAAATATTTGTTTTGTAAACCTTTTGTAAAATTAGTATTAGTTAGATAATCAATTATTATATTTTGTTGTAAATTTTGATAAATTAGGTCTCTTGTTTGTCTATTTGCAATAGTTATTTTGTTGCTTTTTGAAAGAGGTTTTTATAAGCTTCTTGGTGTTATAGAATTGATTTCTTTACTCTAGTAAAGGTAAGAAAAAATGTAGTGCCTCTATGTCTAAACTTAGCTTTGATTGCTAGATATAATGCCTAATTTGTTGACTTAGTTGCATTTTATACTTGATGAAATCTTGAATTCTTTTCTTACTTTTTAGTGCTTCTATTATTTTATCATAATTCTATAAGGTTTTGTTAAATACTTCATGTACTTCTTCTAGTTTTTTGTTAATTTTATATGTTTATTCTTCTGTAAAGTTATCTTGTTTTATGCTTTGTATGTTGTTTCTGTATGCTATATTTTTTTGTATTATTTGGCTATATGTTGCCTATATTGTTGCTTACTCTGCTATTGTATTACTACTTTGTTGCTATATATTGGCCTCTATTTTCATTTAGTCACTATTTATTACTATTACTATGCTTCGGTTTTTAGTAGCTTTTGCTTTATTGTTATAATCATCTGTATATGCATATTGATTTGTTGTACTGTTTTGAGTTAATGTTATATTCATGCTTGCTTGTGTAGTTATACTATAATTATTTTTGTTGTTTATAGTATATTAATTGTTGCTGTTACTTTTTATTTCTATTACATTGTTATCAAAACTAGTTTAAACTAGTTTTGTTGTATTGTTGTTGTTTTGTAATAATGTTATTTTTGTTTTTATCAGAAGTATGCTACTTTTATTATTTTTTGTTCTTTTGTATAATAAAGCTAAGATTTTTTTGCCTTTGCAATAAAGTGTGCTATACTTATTATAGTTTCTTTTTTATTTGTATTATTGCTGTTGTTAGCTTTATTTCTAGTATTTTAGTCTTTTATTTTAAGCTTTTGTTCTAGTTTAAATTTAAAGTTGCAGGTTGGCCCAGAGACCTGTTGCTTTGATGTTTTGTTTGTTGTTGATATTGTTTCTTTCTTGTATTTTATTTTGTCTTATATTACTATATAATATGCTATTTTTATTGTATTCATAACTACTTTTGGTTTATTTAATTATTTTATTTGTTTAAAATTTTGTTATATTATTTTTGCTTATGATTTTAGAATTTTTAAAAAAGAGTTTTTAGTTAATTTCTATTTGCTTGTTAAATCTATTTAATTATAATATTTTGTATTTTATTATATTTTTATTCATTAGTAAAAAAAAGATAAACAGTTATAATTCAAAGTTTAATTTTACTATTAAAAAAAGAAATTTGTTAATGCCATCTCCTACTTTTGCTAATGCTATCTTTTTATATAAAATATTTAATCTTTGACCTTTCAGACTCTAATTATTAATTAGAGTTAGATTATATAAGAGATGGCATTAATAAAAATAGAAAGTAGCATTAACAAGTCTCTAAAAAAAAGGTTCAAAGTAATTATTTACTAAAATGTATTTGATAATTATATATATAAAATTATAGATAATAATAAATTATAATGACAATATCTTTTGTTAAGCTTTTTGAATTAGTCTAAAAGTAAGTAAATAAGTTATTATTATAAAAATAAAGATTAGTATTGTTAGTGATTTTGGTTTTAGTAATATAGACAATATAAATATTATTATAAAGACAATAATTCTATTAGGCTACTTTTTTAGTTATTGTATTAAAACCTTTAACATTATATTACAAATATTTAGATAAAGATTATATAAAGATTGTGTTAATATAGATACTTGTAATGTATTATAGCTATGAAGAAATAAATCAGCTAGAATAAAAGTAGAATTAGATAAATATAATCTAAGAAAAAAATTATAGAAAATAAAAAAAAAATAAAGAAAAATAACAGTATAGTTATAAAAAAAAACATTAAAAAGATATATATGAGTTTTATAATAGATATTGTTAATATACAGGTTACAGGTTTAGAGAGTTTAAAGTAAAACATTCAAGCAGGGTTATTAGATATAGCAATTAATGAAAAACCTTTAGACAGACTTTTTAAATAGGTAATATAAAAAAGTTATACATGTAGCCAATTGTATACTTTCTTGTAATGATTCATAGAATCACATTACCAAAAGTTGTTAATAAAAGTTAAAAGACCAAAAAGATTATCTTAATACTAAAAAAAAAAAAACTAATGTTATTAATAGAAAAAATAATACAGAAATAAATTTAGTAAAAAAAAAATTTGTTAAAATATTTATAAAAATTATAAAAAATTTAAGAGTTTAAGAATAATTTTTTAAAGTTGTTTTTTATAAAATTAATTACTATATACTTAACTTTTATAGCTATATAAGATACTATAGTCTGCTTTGTATATTGGGTTTAACTATTATTACTCTGCCTTTTTATATATTAAATAAAATTATTTTTATATAAAAATAACTATAATAATACTTGTTTCTAATTTTTTTTTTTTATGTTAAGATAACTGACCTCTTTGGTTTTTTGACTTTTATTAATAACTTTTTTGATAATATAATTCTGTAAACTACTACAGAAGAGTATACAATTGGATATATATATAACTTTTCTATGTTATTTATTTAAGAAGTTCATTTGAAGATTTCCTACTAATTGTTATACATAACATCTCTGCTTGGATGTTCTACTTTAAACTCTCTAAACCTGCAATCTGTGTTAACTTTACTAGGTAATATCTAGATACCCAGAGCATCATCTCAATCTTTGAACTATTTTATTCTTAAGGTAAACCTTTTAGAGCCTTTTGTATCTATTTTACAATTGAATTAATATCACTATGGCAGAACTAACACTTGCAGTCAGGTCTAATCATTAAACTGCTATGCTCTTATAAAGTTTACACAGATTCTAGCATTTACTTTACAGCATATTTTTAGTATTTTAGTATATCTCTGCTTTTTTATTAGACTTTTAATCCAGATAGTTTGTATAAAACTATGACCAGTTTATTGGTATATTAAGTCAGCCTAATATTCTTTTTTTCTGGTTTATTTTAACAGCTGATTGGTGGTATTTCTAAGAATCTTCAACCCAAAGATTCTTCTTGTTTAGGTACTATGACC